TGCCCAGGCAGGTCTCGAACCCGCGGGCTCAGGCAATCCATTCACCTCAGCCTCCCAAAGGCGCGGGATTACAGGCTGAGCCACCGAGCCCGGCTGAACAGTAATTTATTCCAGGATTGTTTTGTGTCTAAGTTTACAGATGACTTAAACATCGTGGGCTAGGTATAAGAACCAGCACATGCAAAGGCAATAATCCCAGCACTTTGGGAGGCAGAGGCAAGAGGATTGCCTGAGCACAGGGGTTTGAGATCAGCCTGGACAACTTGGCAAGACCTCATCTTTACAATAAATCAAAAAATTAGCTGAGCTGATAAAAAAATTAGTGGCGCATACCTGTAGTTCTAGCTACTTAGAAGGCCGAGGCAGAAAGATCGCCTGAGCCCAGCATATTGAGGCTGCAGTGGCTGTGAGCGTGCCACTACACTTCAGCCTGGGTGACAGAATGAGACTCTGACTCAAAAAAAAAAAAAAGTGTAATTTCTGGTCTCATCTCTGTCCTTGTCTCCCCCTGGGCTGGTCACATACTTTTTCTGGCTGTTTCCTAATCAGCAATGACAATACTGTGTCCTATGCACCTCACACAAATGTCAAAGATATAAATGAGATGCCGTTTATTAAATTCTGGAGCTCTTTAGGAAGTATTCTCTGTGCAAAAACTTTAAAAATGATATTCAGAAAACTACTTTGCAATTGCCCATCCACCTCTTCAAGCCTCAATAAAATCCTCCTCTCTTTCAATAAAAGCTTTTCCCAGTCAACCTCACTTATTTATACTTTTAGCAACTTAGCATCATACCCATATGGTATATTTCACTTTTGATCTATTACTTTATAACACCATCTCTCCAAGTACCCACACCAGAAGCCCTGGCACCCTTCTGCTCTACCCCCCACCTCCAGCTAGTGCCACACTCTGATCAATTCCATCTCAGTGTGTCCTAGGACCCGTGGTACTGCCATAGCCTCAGCTCCTTGACTCTTTTCACTTGGTTGTCTGTACAGTCTACTCACAGACCTTTCTCACTCTAACTTGGCTGCCCCTTTCCAATTTATCCTTCTCTGTGTTTTTGTTTTTGTTTTTGTTTTGAGTCAGAGTCTCACTCTGTTGCCCAGGGTTGAGTGCAATGGCACTAACATGGCTATCACAGCTGACCTGCTGGGCTCAGGCGATCCTTTCGCCTCAGCCTTCCAAGTAACTGGAACTACAGGTGTGCCCCACTAATTTTTTGATTAGCCCAGCTAATTTTGTTATTGTATTGTAGAGAAGAGGTCTCGCTCTATTTAGGCCAGGCTGGTCTCGGCTTCCAAAGTGCTGGGATTACAGGTGTGAGCCACTATGCCCAGCCCTTTTTTGGGGGAAGGGTTTTACTCTGTTGGTTTAAAGTGTTTTTACTCTGTTGATTAGGCTGGAGTGCAGAGGCATGATCACAGTTTACTGTATGTAGCCTCCACCTCCTGGGCTCAGGCAATCCTCCTACCTCAGCCTCCCAAGTAGCTGGACTACAGGTGCACACCACTCCCTGACTAATTTTTAAAATTTTTTGTCGGGATGAGGTCTCACTGTGTTGCCCAGATTGGTCTTGAACTCCTGGGCTCAAGCAATCCTCCCACCTCCCAAAGTGCTGGAATTACAGACATGAGCCAACATGTCTGGCCTTATCTGAGGTGCTTCTGAGAGGTCAGTTAAAAACATAAATCTGATCCCATCTGCTCTCTGCCTAAAACCCTTCAAATCCTTGACTTAGCACAGAAAACAGTTGTTTTTCTGGTCACCAGTCCCCCTCTGGCTTCAATTCTCATCACTCCAGTCACCCTGCTCCATGCCAAGTCTTCTCAGAGGATCTTGAGCTGAGTCATGAGGCAGCCCAAGAAGAGCTCCCCGTGTCTTCCTGGCTTCATATTTGTGAGCTTGAAGAAAATTCCTTCTGCCTTCAATGTCCTCTCCTACTTAGTAATTCCTAGTGATTTTCAAATTTTAGCTTAAGCATCACTCTATCAAGATCACTTCTAGAACCTCCCTCACCCGTTTCCCATTCTCTGTAGATGCGTGGTGTTATAATTACAGATACTGGTTTTCATTCACGATTCCTGGCTCATAACCCCCATAGCCCTTGTTACAGTCTTCTGTTATTTTGTTGGAGCACTTTAGGTCCCAGAAGCAGGCCTCAGCAATCAGAGTCTCTTCCTCTGACTTCTCCTGTCCTTCTTTCACCTGCCCAAGGCAGGACTTGAATCTGATTGTGGGTCGAAACACCCTCATTCCAGAGCGTAGCTTGAAGTGCCCCGTACCCTAGACGAAGGAATGCTGTACACAGAGGCCCAGAAAAGCTGTGGACTCCTGAAAGCTGGGTTTCAATCATGTACTTTTTGTCCAATCACATTTCTACACAGTTGTCAATCATGACTACATAATGAAGCATTCATCAAACCCCAAGAGGACAGGGTTCTGGGAGCTTCTGGAGAGCTGACCTCATAGAGGCTGAAGGGAAGTTGAAGAAGAACTCATCCATGTGCAGAGAGGGTGGGGCACCCCAAACCCATGAGGACAGAAGCCCCTGGGCTCAAGACCCTTTCAGGCCTTGTCCTATGTATCCTTTCAACTGGTGTTTATTTTAGTCATTTAAAATATCCTTCTTAATAAACCAGTTAATGTAAATAAGTGTTTCCCTGAGTTCTGTGAGCTGTTCTAGCAAATGAATCGAACCCAAAGAGTGGGTCATGAAAACCCCAACTTGAAGCCAGTCAGTTAGAATTTCCAGAGGTCCAGACTTGTGACTCTGGGGGAGACGGGGAAAGTCTTGGGGACTGAGCCCTCATCCTGTGAAATCTGATACCATCTCCCTGTAGACAGTGTCAGAATTGCATTGGAAGACACCCCACTGGTGTCTGCTGCTTGGAGGTAGGTAGAAACCCCTACACACTCGGTCACAGAAGTCTTCTTCTGTGTTGATAATTGTGGTGTGAGAGCAGAGGGAAAAGCATGGCTGAGAGAGCTTTTTCCTGAAACAAGGTGTGTGTCCAGAGCTTCCCCAGAACCACGTGCCTGGTCTTATAAAAACCTATCATTCTGTACTATGGCCATTCATTGATCTTGTCTATGTGTCCTGATAAGCTGTGGGCTCCTGAAAGCCAGGACTATACTTTATGATTCTGTATAAAAATCAAGCATGTAGCATAGAGATAGGCACAATGTAGGTCCTCAATGAGTACCTGCTGAATGGGTGGTTGACATTATTGCTTTGATGGCTGACCGAGAAATAGCAGACTATCAAAAGTTACAGAAACTTTAGGCCTTGTGGATGACCCGGGACTCAGGAAGTCCACATGATTATGGTCGAAAACAGATCATTGTATTTGGTCTCAAATATCATCTATAGTTTCTGACTTCTTTAAAATATTTTTTTTCCACTTTTCCACATGAACAAGTCATTTCTTTGTTAATTGAGAATATCTTCTTGGTTGAGACCTGTCTTCACAAATATTTTCCAAGGATATTTTCTTTTCAGCTTTAGACAAAGACAACTCATAGATTTTGTGCCATAGAACCAAGGAGACTGAAAAAGGCAAGTTGAAGTGTATGATTTGTTTACTGTTGGATGAACTTGGGGTGCCCTCAGCTACAGAATCTCAGGGTCCAAAGGGCCTGTGATGTGGTTGGAGAGAGAGGAACTTACCCTCCTGTCCCCTTTTTGCAGCTTCTAACAACAGGAATGAATAGACAGTGGTCCATGTGCAGAGGGGTAAGTATTCACATGCAAGAAACCTGGGTTCAGAGCAGTTGTCACTCAACTAAGTTCTGTGGCCAAAACAAGGGAGGTAAAGATTTCCACTCAGCAGAAGCATCAACGCACCTGCAATGAAGCAGGTAGGACACTCCCTGTCAGGTGTCTAGAAAGAGTATCTTTTGAATCCCAAGGGAAACTTGACCCCTTACAACAATTTCCAGTCATTCCCAAGCACCGGTTCCCAGGAATAGCCTGGTATAGGCATGGTTTTACTCACCAATGGCCAGCGGGCCAGCTGAGCCTATCAGAGCAATTGGCTACAGGCTGCGAGGAGCTGTATGTATAAGATCCCTTGGCTTCCTCAAAGGAAAGTTACAAGTAGTACAGCAGTTAGGAGAATTTGTTCTGGAGCCAGAGTCGCGCGTGTTCAAATCTTCATTCTACTATTGCTAGCCATGTAACCCTTAGGTAAGTTATTTAGCCTCTCTAAGCCTCAGTTTCCTCAATTGCAAAATGGGGGAAAATAGCATTTATACCTCAGTGCTGTATGTCTGGTATACAATAAGTGATCAATTATTAGAAGTTATTATTATTATCATTTATTTTGGTAGAGATGTGGTCTTACTATGTTGCCCAGGCTGGTCTCGAACTCCTGGACTAAAGCAATCCTCCTGCCTTGGCTGCTTCCCAAAGTACTGGGATTGCAAGTGTGAGCCACTGCGCCCAGCCTTAGAAGTTATTGGTATTATTAGCTATTTATGGTAATAATGCTAATTCATATGCTGCCTAGGCCAAATAATTTTTTCCAGACCCTACACATGATATAAATTGAAAGCCTGTTCAAATGTCCTGCCACCCTATTTAGAGCTGATCATTTGGGTCGAGCGCCCTTCTAGGAAAAATGGTTCTATTCCGTATAGTCAGGTGTTACAAACCTGATTTCCCTTAAGAAACAGGAATCAGGAAGTGGTGACGTGAGTGGTATATGGTCACTCTGGTGTCCACCACCTCCCCTCCATTCACGCTTTGCTGTGAATTACCCTGAGGTCTGGATGGCCTCACACAGGATTCTTCAGCTGACCGACAAAGGAAGATTCCTAGATTGGATTACAGAGGCAGCTGGCAGCCTTTCAGCTAAATTCTATTTTATAAAGTCTATAAATTTACTCAGAATCCAGTTACCAGCTGGTAGGGGGTGTATAAAACCATAGAGTTACAGGAGAGAAAAAAGTAATTCGATTGAAATTTATCCAAAGGATTTAAAATGCAATTTACCTGTTGGCCAGTTCCTGGTTTCAAGTGAAAACCAAAAACCAGTTCAAGGTTCACTATTTTTTCCTCATTTTCTTCAGGTTCACCTCCTGAATCCTAAAAACAGGAAGCCAAGGACCAATTATTCTAGATGTTGTGTTTGCGTCTCATGTAAAGAAGATTATTTAGTGCTAGTTTTTTTCTATCCTAATCTACTCCTGTTTAATTTTTGGCTATTTTGGATTAAGCTACAAGTTGCAATTTTTAAAAAAAAGATTTGTATAAATTTAAGGGGTACAAGTGCAGTTTTGTTACAGTATCTTAAAGCAGAGAAATTACCTATCAGGCCTTTGAAAACTTGGCCAAATGATTTGTTTCATGTACTTCCAATTGACCGTCACTGCATCTTGCATCGTGCAACTTTACTCTAGAAATGCACTTAGCATGTGGAGATGCACTGTGAGATTTCAATTTGAGAGTTTTGCAACACCCAGGATATTTATAAACTATTCTCAAAGAGGGATCACACAATTCCTAGAGCCTAGGTGGATGGAATGAATCATCAGGATTTGAGATGAAAACTCAGAGCTGTTAGTGAATGAGTAGAGTTCTGTGTATTACCTGGCAAGTATTTGCTAATTTTATAACAAAGTATACCATATACTTTCAGACTATTCAAAATCGTATGTTAAATATGTTAACAATATTCAAATAATAAACCTCCTACCCCCAGTGCAAGTGATAACCCAGACAGAGCTTAAGGGTATGAATTCCTTCAGTGACATGCATGCAAAAGGTCTCCAAGGCCAGGTGGGAGGCCAGAGGTCCTCACCTACAACGCTGGCTCTTACATCTCTCAGCCACTGAAGTGAAACGGGTTGTTCTTATCGTAAATGTGTTGTTAATATTTCAACTTGTAGAGAACAGGGTGTTTAATTTATATGCATCTTTAACTTCAAAGGGTCTTTTGTTGGATAGATGGGATTAAATTTCACTTCAAACAATCATTTCCGACCACTGGTAGATTTAGGTGTGGATGTGGCAGGTGCATGTGTCAATAAAAGTAGCATATTCTCAGTAAGATGCAGTAATATGCAGTACTTACCTTAATTAGTGGAGGGAAGTGAAACAAGTTTAGGTAATCGTGGGTTAATTTCTCAATGGCTGACTGTAAAAAGAAAATCACATGACTTTATTAATGATTTGATAATACCAAGAGAGGGTCAACATTACTGGGTACCTATAAAAGCATTTCTTTTTTCTTTTTTTTTTTTAAAGCATTTCTTATTTACATTGTTCATAAAATATCTTGGGGATGTTAATGTTCAACATTTATTAAGAATAGATGGAAAATTTGATTGTCCAAAGCAGTGTAGGTAGTTTATAATTATTTAAAGGAGCAGGAAGCTATTTTATTTTGTGTCATTTTTGTTTGTTATTTATTACTACATACATTTATCAATTTAATCTGTTGTCACTCTGAATAACGGTGGGAAAATAGTAGTGCACAGATATGCCACCAGAGACTTCAGGAAAGTTGAAATCTCACTAAAGGGCTTACAGCATCATAAGGGTTTTTCTGTGTCCAACACCCCCTCAGTCAATGAAGCATAAAGAAATCTTATGGGAAAGGAGGACGATTTAAATTATGACTTTCTGGATACTCATCAGGTATAATTCAGCTTTTCTGTGAACTGATCATCACGTAGACCGTAAAAAAAAAGTACCAACCTGAGGAAAATTAGATGCACTTTTTAAAAGCATACTGAAAGTGGCTGACACCTGACAATGTGATGAACACTTACTGGGTGTTCAATCCTATCCCTTACACTAGCCTCCTCCACATGAGGGAGGGCAGGCTCAGGGGAGAAGAGAGCCATGGACAGGCTTAAAGGGAGGGACAACCCAGAAGCACAAGGATCAGTGGATACACCGCTCCCCTGACCAGTCTCGCCACCTACGGTTTAAGGACTGAGAGGTTCTTGGGGAAGGTATGCGACAATAATTGTGCCTTCCTTAGACAAAGGGCAGGGAATGAAGGACACATCTGGAGAATTCATCCCCAAAGGCCACGCTTGAAGCATTATTTTGTTTTATTTTATTTATTTTTTGAGTTGGGTTCTTACTCTGTTGTCTAGTCTGGAGTGCAGTGGCACATTCACGGCTCACTGCAGCCTCACCCTCGTGGGTTCAGGTGATCCTTCTGCCTCAGCCTCCCAAGTAGCTGGCACTACAGGCGCATGCTGCCATACCCGGCTTGAAGTATTATTTATCCTAATTGCTCCAAAAGTATACACAGGGCCCTTCTAGAGCAAGTTTCCATGAACCTGTTTCCTCTCACATAAACTGGCCAGAAATACCCATGCTCCAGCTGAGTTAGCAGAGTATAACCTGTTGACTGAGCTCTCACTGAGTAGCCACTCTAATATACAGCCCAGCTTTGGCAGCGAGGGAGAGAGTCCATATTTCCCACTTGCGAGACCTCCCCTCTATGAACGACTGTCTTTTTTTTTTTTTTTTGAGTTGGAGTCTCACTGTCACCCAGACTAGAGTGCAGTGGCATGCTCAGCCACCGCAGCCTGGACCTACTGGGTTCCTGGTGATCCTTCCTCCTCAGCCTTCCAAGTAGCTGGAACTACAGGTGTGCGCTACCACACCCAGCTAATTTTTGATTTATTGTAGAGACAAGGTCTTGCCAAGTTCCCCGGGCGGGTCTCGAACCCGCAGGTTCAGGCAATCCACTCGCCTTGGCCTCCCAAAGTGCTGGGATTACAGACTGAGCCACCAAGCCCGGCCGAACGACTGTCTTTATAGGCTCATGCATACCCAACCAGGAGCTCAAGAGCAGTCTTACATCCCTCCCTGCACCCTCCAGCAGATGCAGGCCACCTGTTCCCTTGGAGCTCAGGGCAGACCCCCTGGGTCATGAGGAGAGGACATTGCACAGACCCCACCCCAAGTAGGCTAAATAATTTTTAAAAAATTATTATTTATCTATTTTTGTAGAGACGCGGTCTTACTCTGTTGCCCATATTTGTTTTGAAATCCTGGGCTCAGGCAATCCTCCTGACTCATCCTCTCAAAGTACTGGGATTACAGGCATAAGCCACTGTGACCAGTTTTTTTTAACCCCAAGCAGTAGCTCCCACCAAGCGTTTCTTCTCCGTACGTGTTTCTTGGCTTCTCTGCAGCCTTAGACTCTTTGCATCACCGATTCTATCTTAAAGACTTTCTAGCCTTTGGCTTCTGTAACCTCATTCTCTCCTCTTTTCCTGCTTCTGGGACAGATGCTTGAGTCTTCCTCCTGTCTCTCCTGCCCACGCCCCTCTGACCTCTCCCGGCCACAAGCATCCTTTCTGAAAGCACATGGTGCATCAAGGACAGGAAGCTTCCTAGTAGAAGTTTCTTCGGGGCAGAGGTGTAAAGGTGACTGTGTCTTACTTATTATTTTTGAATAAGGAGAAATTAACATAGCATAAAATTAACCATTTTAAAGTGGGCGATTCAGCAGCATTTAGTGCATTTGCAATTTGTGCAAGCACTACCTCTCTTCCAAAACTTTTTCATCACAGGGGTACAGGGGGGCTCTGTACCATTTCGCAGTCGCTGCACGTTCCCTCCTCCTCTTAACCCCTGACAACCACTGCTCTGCTCTCTGTCTCTATGGCTTTGTCTATTCTGACATTTCATAGAAATAGAATCATCGAACAAGTGACCTCGGAGTCTGGCTTCTTTCACCAAGCATCACATTGTCAAGGCTCATCTATAGGTAGCACGCATCAGGCCTCACTGTCCTTTCCTTCTTGGACTTGTGAGCCACTCTCACCTGTGACATCCTCCCTGCACTACATTCGCATTTCTGCTCCCTAGCCAGTCCTTATGGCTCCCTAGATTACACCATCCCAACTGGTTTTCCAAGTCCAGCCTCTCTTTTTTTTTTTTTGAGTCAGTCTTACTCTGTCATCCAGGCTGGAGTGCAGTGGCACGCTCATGGCTACTGCAGTCTCAACCTTATTGGGCTCAGGCGATCCTTCCACCTCAGCCTTCCAAGTAGCTGGAACTACAGGCACGCACCACCAAGCCCAGATAATTTTTTGATTTATTGTAGAGATGAGGTCTCGCCAAGTTGCCTAGGCTGGTCTCGAACCTGTGGGTTAAGGCAATCCTCTCACCTCGGCCTCCAAAAATGCTGGGATTATAGGCTAGCTTTCCCTTTTTAATCCACTGTAAAACTCCCAGACACAAAGTTTAAACACAGCTGATTCTCAATACTCCTGATGGCTGGTCAAATTCCAGATCCCCCAGCCTGAAGTCTAAGCTGTCGGGGGTCTGGCCTCACCCTCCTTCCACTTTAGGTTTCCTGAGTTCCACCCTTACTCCCATTTCCACCAGGCAGAGCTGCTCACTGTGACTTGTATCAGAACTCATCCTTTCTGCCCCTCTACATTTTCTCCTGTCTCTCTCTTAATCCCTTAATCTCTCTGTCCAGATTAATGTTCTTCCGTTTCCTGTTGCTGTCTACATTCCAAATTCCGTTCTTCCTCCAAGAGCCAGCTCAAGGGCCAACCACTCTATGAGGCTTCTTTCCATCTCCCCTCTCCACCCCAGCCAAGTCTAGGTAACAATGGCTCCTTTTCACCCAACTGCCAAGAAAAGTTGTATGCACATATTTTCTCTCTTCTCTGGAATGTCAGTTCATTGACTGCAGGATTCTTTGAAACTTCACAGGCCCTATCTTGCAATGGGTAGGTAGGTATGCACTGAATATGTTGAACAATCAAACAGGTGGGACGCTGCTTGCCTTAATGATACCACCCATGGTGGGGGTGGGTGTTTTGTCATCCCGGGCCACCTCTGGGAACATTTACATCCCTAGGGGCTTCCGGTGAGGCATCCCAGTTTACCACCCCTTCTTCTTAATGGATCCTTAAGGAATACTGTTCTTTTTTCAAAGACAGCAGAGGGGCAGGGGAGGTGGGAGTATCTTGTCTGGCAATCTGCCAAACAGGACAAGGTTGACAGAATTTCCCTTTTGGAACTCTGAAGCGTCTCTTTCCTCCTGTGACCCATGTAAGCCAGCGTATCCTTTCAGGATGGACTTGCCACACTCAGAGGTTGGGGTCACGGGCTTTGTCAGCCTTTGAGATGCATGCTTATGCAGGAGTCCGTGCCCCCCCCCCTCAGAGGGAGAAGACAGTGAGGCCTCTTTCTGTTGTAGAGATGATCTCTGCCGGGTTAGTGCCAGGCCATTATCCAGAAGGTGTCAGGGGACTGTGAGGATGTTTCTTGCCTGGATCTAAGGTCTGCAGGATGAAGAGAATGGCTTCTCTCTGGGACTTAATGGGGACGTCTCTAGAAAGACCAACGTGGGTAGCTACTGAGGTTAGGGGAAAATGAGCTGGCATGTTGACAGAGCCTTTGTGAAGGTGTAGATTTGGATAGGAGGCTGCTTTTCCTACATTTCCTCCTTTATTCTGTTTCTCTTCTTTCTAGCCTGTGCACACCCCTCCATCTACCCGCACTGATGTAGGGGGAGACTGGGAAACAGACTTGATTTTATCCTGAGTAAGAATGCTCTTGAAATAGACCACCTCTGATTAATAACAATGTCTACACAGATGCCAGCAATTCTATCAGGTTTGATTTATTAAAAAACAATAAAAATAAAACAAAACAAACAACCCGGTGTGGTGGCTCATGTCTGTAAACCCAGCCCTTTAGGAGGTCGAAGTGAGAGGACAGCTTGAGCCCAGGAGTTCAAGACTAGCCTGGGCAACATAGCCTCATCTCTGCAAAAAGATTTTTAAAAAATTAGCTGGGCATGGTGGTGCACGCCTGTAGTCCCAGATACTTGGGAGGCTGAGGTGGAGGGATCACCTGAGTCCAGGAGGTCAAGGCTGCGGTGAACTGTTATTGCGTCATTGCACTCCAGCCTGGCAGACAGAGTGAGACCCTGACAAAACAAAAAACAGATCTGGTTGCTAAATTGCAAAGAAAAAAGTAATAACAATCACAGCCACAAAAACAAAAGTTCAGCTTTCAAACTATTCAAGAGTGAAGTTTTGGAGAAAATGTGAGGACTTCCTGTAAGTGGGGGATTAGAATACACATGTGAACTGGGTGCAGTGGCTCATGACAGTAATCCTAGCACTTTGGGAGGCTGAGGTGAGAGGATTGCCAAAGACCAGGGGCTCAAGACCAGCCTGGGCAACTTAGCAAGATCTTTTATCTACAATAAATCAAAAATTAGCCAGGTGTGATGGCGCATGCCTGTAGTTCCAGCTTCTTGGAGGGCTGAGGCAGAAGGATTGTCTGAGTCCAGCAGGTCAAGGCTGTGGTAGCCATGAGTATGCCACTGCACCCCAGTCTGAGCTACAGAGTGAGACTCTGATTCAAAAAAAAAAAAAAAGTAAACACACGTGGTAGCATCTGTTCCAGGCCATGATTACAAAGGTTGCAAGTGGCTTTAGGTTGTGCATAGGCTTCACTCGGGTCATGCACCGATTCTGGGATTTCCAGAAGCAGCCTGGCCTCTGTTCCTGGGTGGAGCTGTTCTCCAGAAACCACACAGCCTTGCTTCCAGGTCCCTAGCACACTAAGCTTTCTCCTACCCCGGGCAATGCCTCCCCTGGAAGACCTTCTGCCCCACCTCTTTGCCTGGTTAATGTCCACTTATCCTTCAGCTCTCAATTCTTTTATCACTTCTTCACAGAAGCCGTTCCTCACCCCAGCCCCACCTCTCCTGTGTGGTATTTCTCACAGTTGTCATTCCACCATCATTGCATGAGTAATCTCTGCTTTACCTATCAGACTAGAGACTTCCTGAGGATACCGGGGTGACATTCAGGCGTCTCCAGGTGACTCCTGCCGTTTCGGATGAGAAGGAGAGAGTAGGGTTTCCGTGGGGGCAGCACTGATTATCATCTTGTATGGAAACATTTCCGCCCTGCAACCACCAGCCCAGAACTGCTTCCATCGCCGGCCTCTACCACGTGACCTGCTATACAGTAGCTGCTCAATAAAACGGGAAGTGTTCTCCCTTTCAGAGGTACCTTTAAATGAATGATATGCCCCTTGGAGACAATGCCCATATCTTTCAAGTCCTCTTCCTCTAGAAGCAGCAGCCGCTTCCCTGTGATGTTATTTTCTTTAAACAAGCTTGCGTAGACACTCATCTCTACGGAAGAGTCATCACCTGAAGGAAGCAATTTGAAAGTAGAACAAAATGAGACCAAATTGAATCCGAAGCAAAGTTAACTCCATGAATTAAGAAGGTAATTTATTCCACTTGCCTTTGCTGACGAGCTGCTGAACCCAAAAGTACTGTGAAAGAGAGGACATACATGGTTTTGAAGATCACACATAGTCAGTGGCCGTCGAACTACTAACAGTAGAACACATAGTCCTAGGTAGATTTAACTAGCTTTAATTCCTGGTCCAACTAGGGAAGATGGAAGGCTTTCTCTTTGTAGTTTTAAAACCTCAAGCTTTCAAATTGGAGATTTTCTTCCCTTCGGGGGTCTTGGACAGTTGAAAGAATATTGGTTTTCCTCCTACTTCTGGCAATATTTTCAAATTCTTTCAAGAGGGTCCTTACTTAGAGTGATTTTTCCATTTATTGGATCACTGAAGGACACTGGTTTGCCTAGTAATTGTATGAGTAACAGGGACCACACGGCAATAAACCGAGAAATGGACAGAATGAGTCCTCTGTTCTAGACCAGGCCATGAAGTAGCCACATGGCCCCAGACAGGTCCAAGCGTGGAACATCCTATGTAGAATGAGGAGATTGGACCTGGTACCTTAGTCCTTGTATGTCATTTGGCATAGTTTTACTGGTTGACCTCTTATATTACCTGAATGAAGGGGCATGGATGAGGGGCCAAATTCAGTACCCCTGATTCTCTGGAGAAGGCCCTTAACTCTGGAATTTTATTTAAATGGCCTGGAAACCACTCAGTCTCAGAGCAAAGACTAAAAATAGCTTCGAGGACTCATTGCTTTCTAAAAAAATGTCTTTTCAAATGACATGGGCCAATGTTGCAGCAGAGGATAAAGAGATTACATCCAGGCCTGTGAATAAAGGAGACCCTGAATTCTCTTTCCTTGTTAAGCAAGACTGGCAGGAAAGTTAGACTCACTGGGGCTCAGCGAATGGGAAGAATAGAGGCAACCAGTGCCAAGTTTCCTTGCACTACAGAAGCCAAAGAGGTTAGCTCATGCTGAAAGCCATTTTACTTCACACAAATACAAAGGGCAGAGAGGGAAATGCCTGGGCCCCAAACCTGGCTGAGTAGGAAAACAGGCCTTCATAAGAGTTTCTAGTAGTGAGTCTGCACCTCGGGGCACCTGGTTTGTTCCCTGGGCTGGGGCCCAAACCTGCTAAGACTGGCATTACATCCTTTTTGTTTGTTTTTTGAGTTGGAATCTCACTCTGTTGCCACCATGCCCGGCTAATTTTTTGATTTATTGTAGAGATGAGGTCTTGCCAAGTTGCCCAGGCTGGCCTTGAACCCGTGGGCTCAGGCAATTCTCTCACCTCGGTCTCCCAAAGTGCTGGGATTATAGACGTGAGCCACTGTGCATTCCTGGCCTTTTTTTTTTTTTTTTTTAGTCAGGGTCTTACTCTGTGGCCCAGACTGGAGTGCAGTAGCGTGATCACAGCTCACTGCAGCCTCGACCTCCTGGGCTCCAGCAATCCTTCTGCCTCAACCTCCCGAGTAGATGGGACTACAGGTGCATGCCACCAGGCCCAGTTATTTTTTTATTTTTATTTTTTTGTAGAGACAAGGTTTTGCTATGTTGCCTAGGCTGGTCTTGAACTCCTGGGCTCAAGCAATCCTCACCTTGGCCCCCCTAAGTGCTAGGATTATAGGCATGCGCCACCACACCCATTTTAAAATTTTTTGTAGAGTTGGTGTCTCACTATGGTTGCCTAGGATAGTCTCAAACTTCTAGGCTCAAGAGATCTTCTCACCTCAGCCTCCGAAAGTGCTGGGATTACAAACATGAACCACCGCACCCGGCCCTCTGTCTGCATTTGTAAACTATGTATGAAATACCTGCCCAGGTCAAATGAGGCAGTCATGAAAGGAGCTTACCACATCATCTTCCGTCCATGCACCAATCTCAAAGGAAGGCAGCAGCTGCATGGAAAATATGCATGAGATGAAAAAAGGTGATATTATCATTGTCTTTTGGTTTGGCCTCTCATCTCACTCTCTTAGCTCTCAGTTGCTGCTCTGGCTTGGTTCCTCCTGCAGGGTAGGTTGAGTGGAATACAATTTTCCTGACCCTCAGAGGCAGTTCTCAGCACTCCAAGGATTTTGATCCCAGAAGCCAATAACATACATCAATCTTTTAGTAACTATGCATTGTATTTTGGGAGCTGTTTCAAGAGAGACTCTACAACTTTAGTACATGGCACACCACAAGTGGCTTTCCACCCCACAACAGGGCCTCAGCAATTAAGAAATTTCCAACATTTGTCAGATACCAGAACCTTCCTCAGAATTGTCAGCCAACATGAGGATTGTGTGCTGATTACTGACAATTCCAAGGGAACCATTTGGTAGCCAGATGATGAATTAAGTCTACTCTTACAGGGGAATTTCTAAGTGTTTCAGTCTCATTTGCATTATACTTTTAAAACCAAATATTAGCATCCATCGATGAAAAAGAACATGTGAAATTGGCATTGTCCTAAGAACCCAAGTTGCAGTTGCTCTAACTGAAAGAGACGGAAGTACCTCCCTGTCAGGTGCACAAGCAGGAACGAAGACTTGCAGAGGACTTCATTCTGCACTGTTTTTGGAGCCAAAGAGCTACTCACTTCAACACATGCCCTGTGACTATAGTCTAACTAATAAGTGCTAACATAATTTGAAAGGTTCTTGGATTAGAGTTTGGCATAGCCATTAGCTTAACTTGTTGAAATGGCTGGATTGTTCATGAGTAGCATGGCAAAGGGTCACTCATCCTCTGCTACAAATAATTTTTTTTTGTGTGTGGGTGAATTGAAAAAAAAAGAAGTTGAGTTTGGTAGCTTTTACTATTAGTGTAAAAATCAGAGCATGCGTGATTCATCCTTCTAACTTGTAGGTATTTATTTTGTACCTGTATGCTCAAAGGAGGGCACAGGCTTTCCTTCAAGGAACTTTTGACTTAACCAGGGGTGAGATGGGTATAATTTATACATGGGGGAGTCCAAGGTTACCTTCATCTTGGTTTACTCAGGGCCTAGCACGGTGTCTGGCATACAATATCCAGTAAATTTTTGTTGAATAACTTTGTAGAATGAATAAAATTGGAGGGTGCATTTACTGAAGTGGGCCTATGGGTATAACCAAAACAGATGCATTCACAAAGTTTCATAGGATAAGACTGGAGGATGGAAAGCAGCATGGCTTGAGCAGGGCACTGCAGGGAAAGAGAAGAGAGGTGATTTCAGGTGGAAGAGAAGTGCAACAAGGCAAAAAAAACCCCAAAAACCTGGCAGTGGTGGGAGACAGAGGGAGAGGCAGTGAGGATGGGCATGGCTTGTTCACCTATCTGGGGCGCGGCAGGCAGTGAGTTCATGTTGGAGGCCTAATAAGAAATGAGGCGGACTCTGGGGGCAAGCAGAAGGTTATTTGAAAACCCACTGGTTAACATAAATATGGACGTGTAGCGTCTGAGCATCATAGACACGTTGCAAGGACATGAAGTATACACTTCAATCCATACTACCCTTTGTATGCCCTGCTATCCCATGCCCTTCACTCCCTCAAGGACTGCCCCCACCTCCCCTGAAAAGCTTGGGGTATACAGGACTCATCAAATGCACTCACCTGCTTTTGTAATGGGGAAAGGAAAAGGACATGAGGAATAGAATTGAAAGCTGAACTTGATCAAAGAAAAGACATGACAAGTTTTACTTCTTCCCTGGGCAGCCGGACACAGCTGCAGAAACATGTCATTCCGTTCTCCCATCACGGAAGCAAATGTGAAAGAAGGAACTTTTTTGATTAGTTCAAGAAACAACAGACTGAGTTACAGAAATATTTCCCTGCATCAAGGCTGGCTTTTATAGGAAGTTGGGGAGGTAGGGGTTGGGAGGGATGGGTAGTGTTATTTTTATACAATTCCCAAATGTTGTGCTAAACGAAATTGAGAAGTATTTCTTGAATAGAATAAAGGTCGTGAATGGAGCAACAAATCAAAATCAACATCTCTCGTGTTAATGTTAAGGGAGAGGAGAGTTCTCTGGTGGGCTGAGAGGGGCTCATCAACGTGATGCCAAGGGAAAGACGCTGGATTCAGTTGGACACTCACTCCAGCAGGATTCTTTGCATGATGCTTGCAAAGATCAGTGAGAGGAAGGCTGGAGCCAGCCCTCCTTCATGACGGTTTAAATTTGGCAAGACAGGGGACAAGAGTTAATGATCTCCAGCCACAGAGTGGCTTCCCATTTCCTTGATGTTTTCTGTACCTTGTTAACATATCAGTGCATTGGCTGCAGCATGAGTTCTAAGCCTTTCTGTCTTTCTTTGGGGATAAAAAAAAAATCCACCTCATCACTGCCCCATCACTTTACAAATTCATTACTGACACTCCAACTGACTTAAGGAGAGAAAGGCTAACACTCACGTGCATGCGTGTGACAATGATTCCTTCAAAGAATGTTGGGAATCCAATCTAACAAAGATCTTATATACACAGCAACACATAACAAAGGGATTTACTGTCAAAATGTTTATTGCAAAATGGAGTCTTAGAACAAAGGAAAGCAAAGAAAAGTTCACATCAAAATGAAATGTATGACACCAACTTGGATTTCTGAATACATTGTGGACTTTGTGCTGGAATATCAAATTCCAACTATAAGATCAGTAACTGAATAGTCTTACCACACAAGAGTAAAATTTAATCTCCCATACAAACATTATACAAGATATTTGGCATAGGACTCACGCAGAATAACATTGCAATAGAATAATTGAGAAAAAAGTTTTTGTCAAAAAACAATAAAGTGATAATGCCATCTATTCAAAGCTCACACTCAAAGAATATAAATATTTTATATTATTTAGTACAAAATTTTTAAGAGAGTGCAAAAGCAATATGTGCAGTGTATCATATCTGACATTCAAAGATATACTATTCTGCACACGATACAAAATAATTAATGTAGGTGCTTGAAACTCTAGTTTTGAAGTAAATAATCACATGCCAGAAAGCTCCTCCCAGGCAACAAGAGTACAAACTGAGCAAACATGGCTAGTCCTCTAGGCTGTCTGATACACCCTTATTTCTCATCACAGAAATGTTGCATCTAGAGCCGTCAGGCTATGCCACAATTAAAAGAAAATAGAATCTTCTCTCTGGCAACGCTTCACATCTAAACAGGAAAACCATCTTGCCAAAAAGCATTAAAAGGTGCCTGATTATAGAAAAATTATGCTCTATTCTCTATGTGATACGGTAAGACTACTACCTTCAAAAGGCTGCAACAAGTCTAGTGTAACACAAATTTTTTAAAGCATCAGTATTTAACTCAGAATAAGTTTTAAAACTGTCTTCTATCAAACTCTTACCACTCTAATGAAAACTCTGAAAAATCAAGCTATGAACACGGTAATGCTATGAGAAGTCATTCTGGATCTCTCCTCAACTCTTCCTCACACCCAATGCCTTGATTTTTAATGAGGATCAAGTTTGAATACCTCAGCTGGTGTTCAAGTCTAACAAATCCACTGCATGTAAAAAATCACTGACTAAAAACTGGCCCTCAACATTTCCAGAGCATCAAAAATAGCAAGCTACAATACCATTAACCTCTTCCCATGGGTTATTGTATAAAATATTAAAATGTGATTTTGCTTTAAAAGGTGGCCAAGCTTGGTGGCTCAGCCTGTAATCCCACGCTGTGGGAGGCCAAGGTGAGTGGACTGCTTGCCCGCGGGCTCGAGACCTGCCTGGGCAACTTGGCGAGACCTCATCTCTACAATAAATCAAAAATCAGCCGGGCATCGTAGCGCGTGCCTATAATTCCGGGTACTTGGAAGACCAAGGTGGAAGGATCACCAGAGCCCAGCAGGTCGAGGCTGCGGTGGTTGGGAGTAGCCACTGCACTCCAGTCTGGGCAACAGAGTGAGACTCCAACACACACAAAAAAAGAAAAGGTAAAAGGGCCCTTTGAATTAACCTGGCTACCTTGCAGAATTGTAGCTACTTCCACGAAATTTTTCTTTTTCTTTGTTTATTGTGGAATCAGTGTAACAGGAGAGTGACCTGCCCAGGTGAATTTAGCTGTAGATAGCTTCCACCAACATTCTTTTTTTTTTTTTTTTTTTTTTTTAGT